GGAAACGAAACAGAAGAAACGTCAATATTTCAAAAAAAGCAGGTGTTGATACTAGTGGTTCAAAGTTTTCATTTGTTGAATTGACTCGATGCAGTTTTATATTGAATGGACACGACGTGATCGATTCACTAGTAAGAAGTGAGAAAATGTTCAACCCAAGAAAAACCTCATCGTTACAAAATGATATTTGAAATGGACGAGATTATTAGTAAAAATGGGTCTGTGCACAAAAAATAGAATCAGAGAAGTTAGGAGCAAGGACAAATGAAGAAAAAATAGAAATGATGTTCCAAAAAGAAGTGCAGTTTAGAAGCGAAGGAGGCTCACAAAAAATTAGCTGAAATTAGCTGAAGGAAACAATAATCAGAAAAGAATTCAATACTTCAGCAACTGGAGTTAATGAAACGAAGTCTGATATATCTTTACATGGAAGAATAATCCTCACATTGAAGACAAATAATGAGGCAAGTCAATAAAACTCCTTCATATGTACTTCTTTCAATTTAAACGCCTGTTGATCTTTGTTTCCGAACGCCATATTGATGATAGCTCAAGATGTTGAAGCCTTCCAAATATTTGAGGACATGGTAGTTTACGACTTTCTCGATGATTCTTGATATCACTGATAGCGAAGCGGATGGTATACAGTTATTTGGAAGATGTTTCTTGCCCTTTTTAGGAATAGGCTGAACGCGAGCAATCTTTCAACAAGAAGGAAAACTCCAGGTTGAAAAGTCGGCAAATTACTGGTTACTGTGGGGTGGGACGCAAATTGTTCAGCTAGTAGCTTTGCTTTTTCCATGACTATTGTTGCAAAGTTCAGATCAACAGCTTCAGCTACCGACCAGAAGGATCTAGATCCGTTGAGATTGGTAAGCAGTTTATCCTCAGCGAGTCTCTCTCCTCAATCTTCGCAAAAAGTCGTCCTTCTATGAGCCTCCTCAATCTTGGGAACAGAAAAAAGTCGCAGGAAACCAAATCTGGTGAATACGACGGCTGATGCATGATTACGGTGTTGTTTTTGGTCATTCGAATGATCCCCTTCAATATACTCCCCTCCCCTCGCCACACACCTCTCCATACGTTTTTCCGTCGATCGAAGCAGTGCTGGAAGTCTTCTTTGATGAGGGCCTGTAGGCGTTCTGCCATTTTTTGCTTTACCGCTTTCATCGACTCATATCGAGTCCCTTTGAAAGCAGATATTATCGTCGGAAACAAAAAAAAGTTGCACGGTGCCAAATCTGGCGAGTACGGGGCGTGTTCGACCACTGGAGTGTGTTTATCTGCCAAATACCGCTTCACAGATAGCGCGTTGTCCACAGATAGTGCGTTGTCCTGGTGCAAAATCCACAACTCAGGCCGTTTCTTTTGAACTCGTTCTAGCAGTGTTGCCAAAACTGACAAATAGTAAGTCTGGTTGACAGCCTGACCCTCTGGAACCCATTCAGTCATCACGATACCGTTAATGTCGAAAAAAAAATCAACATTGCGTTGAATTTTGATTTGGGCATCCTTGCTCTCTCGGCCCTCACTGAAGCGCTTACACCACTCAAAAACTCGCGCACGAGATAGAGAATTGTCCTTCTAGGCCTCTTGCAACAATTTATAGCACTCAGTCGGAATTGTCTTCAATTTAACGAGAAATTTGAGATTAATACGTTGTTCCTGTTTTTCGTCACACATGGTTTTCAGTACGAGAAAAAAACACGTTCATTTCAAACCGCTACTGCATAAATACTATAATAGTGACGGAAACGTGTTTTGGTACGTGAATAGAGAAGATTTCCAGATACCCAACGCACCACTCGTTTTTCCCCACCCTCTAAGGCGCCGCCTAGGCGAGCAGTCTTGTTATTTAACAGCTGGACCTCGTATATTGTGTAGTAATCCTGTGAATGATATCTGATTGAATTCCATTACAATATTTAGTGTACAAACTGAATTGAAAAAAGTGTTTTTGGTAAAATGCCATGTTTTTGTGAAAGTATTTGTTTCGAGGGGGCTATTTCTTCCACTTTGGTTCTAAAAGTTACGTATTTGCATGATCTGCACATATTTGTGAGAGTTCATTTTGAAATAAATTGCTTCCATTCTTTCTTCGGAAGATACCCACAAGTTTGAAGTTGGAGAAGTAGAAAGCCAAAACCGTTATTTCCTCAAAATCAACATGTTTCTGGAATTTAGGAGTTGATACTTTTTTTGGAACACACAGTGTATAACCACACACTATTTCAAGAAGCACTTTCAGAATCAAATTCAATTGCTAAAAAGTAATGACGAAGGAAATAATTAGCGTATTCATATTTAAGATCGTGAGCAACAGTGCAAGAATATCAACGTAGTCCTCTGAAACTAGCATCTGAACTTTTTCATTTGAAACCGCAATTCACGTTCACTCATTTCTTCAGATGCATTTTTCACTACCGGTATTTCGTTACCAAATCGTAGCACTGAGCAGTAATTGCCTGAATTCTATGCTATACCAAAGTCTGAGTGTGAAGGAACAAAGAAGGATAAATGACTTCTTTTAAATTTATGAATGAAGCGGTTTTGGAGTCTTTCCGTTGGTTGAAAAAAAAGTTACAGCAAGTTCTGCTGTCATTATTTCTTACAACTCTTGTTAGTGGTAGACGGTTACACTTGGTTTCTCGAAGTAATAACTAGTGAAATAGATCTACAGGGTGAATACTGAAACATTTTAGAAGGTCTCTTATGGTTTATTAGCCAAAAACTTTCATCTCTCAAGTTTTGAAACATTGCTTTCGAAAGGACCCTACAACATGCCAAGTATATTTTTTAATTTTTTCTGTTAGTTTATATGAGAACATGATTTATTTTGAAATTGAAATGAATATTTTCTTTCACAAACTACTCACAATACGATTTGATCTCTTAGGATCTGTCTTTCTCTTCAATATTAGCTCTCAGAAACGGCGGTGGTTAAAAATAAAGAAAGGAGTGAAGAAGAAGATTGTAGACCCCTTCACAAGAAAACATTGGTATGATGTCAAGGCCCCGTCAATGTTTGCCACCCGTCAGGTTGGCAAAACCTTAGTAAACCGTACCCAAGGTACTAAGATTGCTTCTGAAGGTTTGAAATCCAGAGTGTTCGAAGTATCCCTTGCTGACTTGCGAAATGATAATGATGCTGAACGGTCTCTCAGGAAGTTCCGTTTTATTGCTGAGGAGGTGCATGGTAGAAATGTATAAATTGACCGCTTTTCATGGTATGAATTTGACGACTGATAAACTGAGGTCAATGGTTCAATGGTCAATGGTTTTACAAAGACCATTTATCTCAGAGAACCTAACCTAACCTAACCTAACTTGTGTATGCTGTGCTATGCTATCTGTTCTGTGCTATGTTCTGTGCTATGCACAGCATACACAAGTTAGGGCTATCCGTGAGAAAATGGTTGAAAAAATTATTGCTGAAATTCAAAAGTCTGACTTGAAAGGAGTTGTAAATGAACTCCTTCCTGACAGTATAGCTGAGGATATTGAGAAAGCCTGTCAGGGTATCTATCCTCTTCACATCCGTAAAGTTTAAATTTTGAAGAAACCACGTTTCGAACTGTCCAAGCTCTTGGAGTTACATGGTGATGGCGGTAAAGGAGGACCTGGTGAACCCGGTGGTGATGCTGGCTCTAAAGTTGACAGGCCTGAAGGTTATGAACCACCAGTACAAGCTACCATTTCTTTCAATGTTTCAGAAAAATTGCGGCACCATGCCTTTTTTTTCTTCACATCTATTTATAACGCCAATTCCAATAATTTTGTTCGCTGTACTAGTTCATACAGGTTCTCTCCTGATTATAAGAAAACGGATACCTAATTTATTAAACCACTTCATGTAACATAACATTTCTACACAGTTGAAACAGGTAATTTAAAACATTGAATACTAAAATATTGAAAACATACCACATGGGCTGAAAAGTACTAAACTTCAAAAGAAAACTGTTGCAATTTCATTTTCGACAATGGATCAAAAACAATTTCGTGTTTTAATTTTACACTGCTTCTTGATGGGAAAAAATACCGTTCAAGCAAAGCAATGACTTGAAAAGTCATCAATGAGTTGAAAAATCATCATAAACAACAATTAAACGTTGGTTTGCTGACTTCAACCGTGATCATAGAAACACCGATGATGCAGAACGCAGTGGACGTCAAAATGAGGCAGTAACACCAGAAAACATTAAAAAAACAGTCCACAAAATCGTTTTAAATGATTGAAAAGTGAAGTTGCGTGAGTTAACCGACATTGTAAAGATATCAAAAGAACGTGTTGGCTTCATAGTGCATGAGCATTCGACTATGATAAAGCTCTGTTCAAAGCATGTGCCACGCGTGCTCACTGTTGACCTAAAACAAGACGTCTTGATAATTCTAAGCAGTTTTGGCCTTGTTTAAACATAAAGAACCGAAATTTTTGCATCGATATGTGACAATATATGGAATATGGATCCATCACTTCACTCCGGGATCAAAACGATCGTCATCTGAGTGGAGAGCAACTGGTAAACCTCGTCCAGAACGCTCGAAAGCACAACAATCTTCTTGAAATGTTATGGCCTCGGTATTTTGTGATATGCGAGGTGTGATATCGATCGACTATCTTGAGAATGTAAATACCATCAACAGTGAATATCATATAGCGTTATTGGATCGTTTGAAGGCCGAAATTGCGGAAAACGACCCCATTAGAAGAAAAAATGCCGCTCCATCAAGACAATGCACAGTGTCACAAATCAAAGAAAAATTGGCAAAGTTGGCAAAATTGCATGAAATGGGCTTCGAATTGCTCCCGCGTACACTACATTCGCCTTATTTGGCTCCTAGTGACTACTGGGTGTTCGCAGACCTCAAACAAATGCTCACCGGTAAGAAATATTCCTCGAATGAAGAGGTTATTGCTGAAAGTGAGGTCTATTGTGGTATTGAAATGTTAGAGCGGCGCTGGAATGATTGTGTCGCTCTTGATGGAGGTAACGTTGATGACTTCCAACGCCGAACTTGCTTGCGTCTATTCAGCCCTAATCCTGGTTGATGATGATATTGCAGTAACTGTCGAGAAAATCCAGACCATCCTCAAAGCAGCCAACGTTGACGTAGAACCATACTGGCCTAGTCTTTTTGCAAAAGCGCTAGAAGGAATCAACGTCAGGGAACTGATCACCAACATTGGGTCTAGAGTAGGAAGTACACCTTCGGCAGGGAGTGCTGAAGCTCCAGCTGCGGCAGCAGCTACTGCTGAGCCTGCCAAGGAGGAAACGAAGAAGGAAGAAGAACCTGAAGAGTCTCATGATTTTATGGGTCTTGGACTCTTCGATTAGGGTACAAGTTTTTTAACTATGTGACATAGGATTAAACTTTTTCTAAGTTGATGGATAAAGCCAATTTCGAACTTCTTCGAACCTACAGCCTCGTACCAATGTGAGGGCACTGGTAAAAAAGTACGCAGATATTCAATCTTTAAAACCCAATAATACTACTTTGAAAATCTTGAAAATGAGCTGCTCTTTCATAATGAAACAATATTTATGTAGTCTACGTTTCCCCAATAATAAAATGATTCCAATGCAAAAAGATTCCATCAATTCAGAGTTGAGACCTTAAATCCATCTAGTGTTACATAATTAGTCAATGACTCAGTTCTACTTGCACAAGACTCTATTTTAGATGTAGTTATTATGCATGTGTAGGTATCGATTTTGTGGCATCAAGCTGAATGGCCCACGGAATTTGTTTAGTTTTTTGTGATATTTCAATAAATTACGTATGCAAATTTGCGATAAAAATTCTTCTTCAGTGGCGCCAGAGATAATAGTCTCTGACATAAATTCTTCTCCGCAGAAATTCAGCAATCAATAGTAGAATTCTCATGATGGAATTTGATTATGGTTGAATGATCAAGTAAATGATGTTTTTCGGTAATAGCATCGTTGAATACTACAACCGTGAATCATTATAGGATTCTCCGCACAAGTCTAATTACATTGAATCACTCCAGTCCATGAACAATTTATAAATAATGTAATTTATCAATTCATTGCAATTTGCCAATTATCTGCTTTTTCATGTTATGGTCGATTCAAATCATCCCAAATTAGTGAGTACCAGGGTGGTCTCAGAAGTACCCAGTCCATCAAAATAAAACACAAACATTTTGGAAAAAAAATTATTTATTTTTCAACATAATCTCCTTGCAGCTCTATACACTTCCCAGCGACGTTTACTAGGTTAGGTTAGGTTATGTCCAAAGTGTATGAATATATTCGACCATCCACCGCAACCCGCAAGGGTTTATTGTGGTTCACACAATCACACTCGACCAAATAAACCCATATAAACTGATAGATAAAAAATGTACTTACTAACTTGAGCTTATAGTAAAAAGTCAGACATAGCAATGAGAAAAACAAAGTTAATACTTTTCATCATGTAAAAAAGTGTCACACATTCAATTTTTGAGTTTCTGAGAAAAAGTACAAAAAACTTATTTTATT